CCCCAAAACCCCAAAACCCCAAAACCCCAAAACCCCAACACATAATATCTGAATTGAAATTTCAACAATATAATTATTCACTGATCTTCCAATCATGGTTAAGTAAAATTTTGATTCGCTGATCTAAAAACTTCTCAAGCTGGTTCTTCAGTATCGCCATTTGGCTCTTAAGTGAATTCGGAGGATAATGAGATCTTTTGGCGGACACTATATCGTACTTAAAGACTTTTTGGTAAAGACTTTCCCAAGGCATTTTGTAGCCAAATTCCTTCAAAATAGCATTAGGATTATTGTCAATTCCTTTTTCACATGAGATCTTCTGGACAATCTCATTTGTTTTTAGCCATCGATTAGCATTACTGATTCTTGTATAGTCATATAAGCCGAAGTTAAGCACACATGAAACTAAGATGAAGTCGTCCTTGTGGTTCCAGTTGTAAGTCTTTTGAATCTCTCTTAAGTTTTGGAAGTATTCTTCCTCCTGTCCGAATAAGCAATTATTCTCATTTCTCTCTCCATTGTAATACATTTTCTCTAATCTTCTGGTACTCTTGATTCAAAACATTACCTTCTCAGCTGAGTTTCCATTAAAAATAAAGTGTGGCTTATCCTTAAGTTCTTTGAAAAGATTCATGAATTTCAAAAATTCAATCACCTTGACTGCGAACTTATAAAAAGTGGGATAATCAAGATTTTGAATGGTAACATAGCGATTATTTTCTGCTAATGAACTTGATCATCTTATAAATACTTTCGATATGAGCCTCCTTCCATCCATATCGCATGATGAACATCATGAATTCCTTCTGGTATTGACGGTTGACACCTAAGATAGAACAATATTTCTCAGTCCGATCATTATTGATCTCTATTAGAGTCCAGATGAACTTATTGTTAGTGACTTTCTTGATCATATCCATTTCGAATTTATAGAATGGAGAAGGGTCATATTCTAATATACTCGCTCTCTTGTCCTGCTCTAGGGCTATCATGTCTATGACTATGTCACTCTTCTTCCTCTTAAGTCTTTCTTCATATCCTACTCTTTCAATTCTGAATGGTTTGACCATCTGTGCTGTTGGCTAGAATAAGATCATCCTGGTGGAGTACCTGATCATGGTTTGCACTATTCATATCTCCATATGAACTGCCTTGGTATTTTGCCATTTCCTTCCGATCAGCTATTTCTAGAAATTAGGTTTGGAAGTACTCTTGAATTTGTTAATCTTGCTCATTTCTAGAATTTAGAGATGAAAGGTACCGAAAATCCGTGGGTAAGGAGTCCTAGTAGTGACAATCTTTTCTTCCTCCGATGACTCTTTCCGAGCACCCTGAGGCATATCAGCATGAGAATTATTGGGGTGATAATTTTCTAAAATGCATAAGAGAAGCTGGATGAAATTCCTACTCGTTTCTTCATTGTTGTGACTCTGGAAATCTTTTTCAGATTGCTCTAGATGTATTATAATCGATTCTTTCTCCATCGGACTATCTGGAGCATGCTTTTCCCTCTCCCTTGCTTCTTCATGGTCTAAAAGAAATTCGGTTGCTAAAATACTTTCTGAAGGTTCATTGTTTGACAATTTTTGTGCATTTTTATGAAGTAATTCTATTTTATCCGCCAAATATTCTGAGAGTTCTCCATGGTAATCTTCTGAGAAGGAAAGGCTAGAGAGATGAGTTGATAAGGGTTGGGAATAGACTTACCAAGCGAGAATACTCTGCTGATTTTCTTCATAAATGGCGACATTAGTCCCTTCTTGCTCATGCTCAAAGAACACAAAAACCCTTGCAGATGCCTCTTCTGTTCTAAATTTATCCATAAATTTTTTATTTCTGCTGTTGAGTCCTGTTTCAGCCGATTTCTCTTGGTGATCTCCCTTCTGGGGTCCTTCAGCCAAAGATCTGGCTGTTTCAATTTCCTTGTAAACCTCACCTAAAGCATCAAATCCTGATGAAATACCTATAAGGTCTTCTTCTTGGGAACACTGCTGAATTCTAAACTTAGCTTGGTCATCAAGGATTCAAATTTGAGTGAGATTCCAAGCTCATTTGTGAATATTAGGATTTTACTAGTGGCTAAGGCATCTGGTAAACTGCTCAAAACTTGGGTCATGGGGTTAGGACTAGGTTGAGAGAGAGTAATAGGATCTCTCACCACTTCTCTTTGGTATCCTCCCTTTAACCCCCATAAAACTTGGCCCAAGACCTTCAAGGCTTCTTCGTCAAAGTACGTTTCAAAGGTATATTCGCCTGTCTTTGGGTCAATTATAGGTTTTGAAATAATTCGTTTTCTATAAGAAAGTTAGAGCTTGCCAAAGCAATTTGGAATCTACCTCTTTTTAGCAGACTTGGACTGAGCCTTAGCTTGAGAGGCCTCTTGGGACTGAGAGGAATTTTGAGAGGCCTAAAAAAATGAGTGATCGAAAATTACATTTTTAAGAGGTGATTTTGACTTATTTAGACCTGGAGAAGGAGGTTCTGAGCCTGAAGGGGCTCCTTCATTTTTGGGCTCTAGGTCAGAAACTCTGGCTTTGGCTTGACTATATGTGAAGATGAGAGACAAGCTAAGGAGGGAAGCGGGGATGGGATAAGTAAAAATTTGAAATTTTGGATCAAACCTTGTTTTTGGGACTTTTGAAGATTTGGGATTTTTTGATTCATCTTTTGGAGTGTCTACGGGTTTAGGTAGGTTTGGGAAGGTAGAATCAAATTTTGAGGTTGCCCTAGTTGTTCGTGATGATTTTTGGAGTTTTGAAATATCTTCCAGTTTTGGAGTGTTGTTGGGCTCTGATGAATTATGCGTATTATTTATCTGCTTTTTCTCATCAGGTTTATTTGGGGGTGCCTAAGTAAGGATTTAACATATAATGCTACTTCATTACCCTCCCTCTCCCAAACTCGACCCTCAAAAATGTATTCCACAACCTTATTCCCGCCAAATGCCCCTAAATCTTCATTCCCCTGCTAACCCCTACATACCTTATTCAGATTGTTGCTTTGTTTTCCTTCCTGTCTGCTCTTGTCACTTCCTTTAGCTCTAACAATCCCTTTAAGATGTTTGAGGCCTGATCCATAACACTTATTCATTTCCTTCTTTGGGACTCCTTTCACTAATTCCGGGAATTCCCATGTTGCATTATTATACCTATAGAGTTAACCTCTGAAATAACCCTGGGAGATCTAGAATTGAAGTATGCTTACCCAAGGTTATTTCCATTTCACATAATACTTCTTTACCTCCCCATCAAAGATCTTTACGGCCAGCACCTTCTCGACCTGGAGATACCGAGGAGGAATCCCTGAAGGCTTCATCTTTTTATGATCTTGTGGTTTCAAATTGGCTAAGTATTTGTTGTGAAGATCCTCATCTAGCTCCTGAGCTAGCTCATAATTCATCCAAACACAATTTGCATAAGATGTTTTACATAGTTTCGCTAAGTACATACATTGCTTCTTTATTATCGGATTTTTATTGCTCTTCCTAGTCTCCCTTCTACGAGTATTCGCTTCTCCTTCTATGGAATCTATAAATTTCTCAATTCCTCGAGACTCAGTACAGCATCTACAGACTGAGTAATTATTTTCCATCGTGCACAGTCACACACCAGTAAGGTATCTCCAAACAAGAAAGATGAGTGAACACCCCTCAAAGAGGTCATTTAATAGGCGTGAATTTATTGAAACTATCCGAAACATATTTATTCACTTCTTCTTTGCTATCTTCTGGTTCAACAATTGGATTCTTTCTTGGCCTTCCTCTCTTCTTTTTGACTTGTACATCGTCCTTTTCTTGCTGCTGGACTAAGTCCTTCAGGCATATTGCACACTGATCTATCATCTGGCCTGTGCAATAAGGTCATTTCCACTCGTTTCGGCCAATTTTCTTGATCCCCAGTCAACTTTTATGGAATACTTTTGGACATGCATCACATAGAATAACTGTGCCTCCATCAATACAAATATGTCAGTACATTTTGAGGTTGGGTATATATTGTTCTTCTATAAAATGTTAACTTGAGAACTTTTATCAGACAAATTAGCACTCATTACTGTATCCGGCTAGATATCAATAAGAAAATCTCCCAAGATTTTAGTAGCGGAATTATATATTTTTATGCATAAAATTTATTATCCCAGATGTAATTTGTGGGTAACTTTCACTCGAACTCAGCTAAGATTATCAGGAAAAATAGTCCACAAATCCATAAACTCTTCTATTAAAAATTGACAAATTTTTGAAAATTTTTCAAAAATCATCAATTTTCAAAAAATAATTTTTTTGAATTTTGATTTGTTCGAAATTTGGTCACAAAAATATCGAAATTTTCCTCAGAATTTTTGCGAGAACGAACGAATTTTATAATATTTTTTAATAATAAGTAATTTAAAAATAATAGAGAAAGCGACAAAAGGGTTTGATAAAAATATTACCTAAAATTGAAGTTTCAGAGCAATCAGAGCTAGAGACTGGGTCTTCCTTATTTTCCTCGATTTTATCACAAGGTTCACTTGAACTCTCAAGGATAGCAGGTTGCTTATCATAGCACCTATCTTGAGGGAACCAACTTAGATCAATGGGCTCGGGCAACTTGATGTCGTAGTTATTTTAAGGGCTGAGAAGCAATGACATCTGAATCCTGTTCGAATTCTATGTTACTTATCAACAAAACACTGTCTCCTTCATCTATAGAGGACTGCTTGAGAATTTTCTTTCTTGTATCCATTATAATAAAATAGTTTAAAATTATTATTATATTCTTAAGGCGGGGTTTTGGGGTTTTGGGGTTTTGGGGTTTTGGGGTTTTGGGG